CACGTGAAGATCAAGATGAATATTGTGAATGGAGCGTGGAGAGAGGAATAGATGGAAAAATTGTCAAAGTTGCATTTACATGCGAAGTACCAGAATATTGGGAATTTCTCGCTCTAAAAGATGTCGAAAAATTGCTGGAATTGTATTCTGAATTCACTGGAAAAAATGTATTAAAGGAAGATCTTTTTGTTAACAATAAATATGACCGAAAAAATAAGTGGAATTACAATAGTAATAGTGGAAATATCGTACATTTGATCCAAACGGACAACACGCTTATTGATGGAGTTGATATTACTATTTGTTCCAGTATTACTCGTGTCACCAATGAAAAATACGTCAATAATGAACGTATTTTGACTACAGAGCAGGAACTCATCAAATATGGCCTCAATGGCAAGCCTGATAGGTTTTCTGACCCTCATATTGGGGCATTCGTGAATAAGCTTGCTCGTCTAGGTGCAGATGTGACAATTCGCAACCCACCCGCAATTTATTTTAATGATCTGGATACTTCATTATTTAAAACTCCCGATGGATCTGATCCAAAGTGCTACTGGCATATTCTCCGTGGTAATGAAAAAAATGGGTATGTCCGTGCTGAATATAAGGTTACTGGTAAAGAGTTTTGTGTCGGAGACATCCAAATCAACGGAATTCCTATTAATTTCGGTGCACAGATTGCTGATTTTGTTACTATGCGTATTCCGGTTGTTGCTTGTCGCTTTGGCCAAAGTACCATCCCACCTTTTACTGTAAAATCAATGTCAAACTCAAATATATGCCACCATATGACTTTAGATGACATACTTAACGCTGGTGAAAATAATGGTGTTTCTAATTGAGCTTGCTCAAATATGCTTATTTTACATCCTTATAAAGGCTCTTGAACCAATTATGTAGTTCGTGATATGTATATATTTAAAAATATCACTTCTAAAAAATAACAGTTATCCTCCCATACAATCACACAGTTGGGCACATAGTAAATTTTTTCAAAATGTGCTTATATGGAGGTCTTTTTCATTTAAATTAAATCATAGTTTAGCCTAAACATAAATGTGATTACATACGGTGTGATTATATTTGAGGTGACTATATGGAGGGACGGCTGTATTTTTTAATTGTTATATTTTTTATAATAACTATGAAAATAAATTACTGCTTTTATTTAAAAAATTTAAAAATATTTTTACTCTCAAAATAATATTATCTAAAGTGCGGACTCGCAGGACTGTGAAATCATATGATCATAAACAGAAAGTCTACGGGCAGTGCTTATGTGCAGGGACAGGGACAGTGCAGATTCACCAACCAATTGCATGAATTTCCCTGTAAAAGATCTGGCACTGCTGTAGGATTCTAGTCGTAATTCTGTCTCTTCTATAAACAGCCATATCATTTCCATTTCTTAAGAGTATCCCTTAAATCATCAATTTAACTACGAATCTACTGAAATTTAGGCTACATTCCAACATAATACCAGGAACGTAGTTTTGCTTGCATAACGGAGTGTATGGTTACCCGCCATCTAGAATGGTGTAAACAAAATCTTGCATTTGATTGGATAGCGTAATCATCATGATCATATTCACATGTTGTATGTACGTACGACATGATATACATATCTTGAGCTAAATCAAGTAATGTCCGCTATGCCTTTATCCGTTTATAGTAGAAGTTAAGAACCGTTATCGAAGCCACACATGATACTTGTTGCATTAATGTCATAATTACTTCATAGTGCATACTTGGTGGTTTGAAAGGATATGATTGTGAGAAAAAAAATTATATTAGTAAAATATTTTCGTGCTTGTGTGAGAAGAAAATGGAAATTGCGTTAAATCTATCACATATGTGCAAATGTGATAATTATGTAAATTAGGGGTCCAGAGGGTCATACAGATCTTTTTTTTTTTTTAGATTTTTAGCGTTTGGCTTCGCCGAAAAGTGAATCAGCACCAGGCAAATGTGCAAGCGACATTTTGGTTTTCTTTTTTTGACCTTTTTTAGACTTTTTACTAACTTTTTTTTTTTTATTTTTTATCTTTTATTTTTTAGCCTTGTTACTAACTTTTTTTTTTTCTTTGCGTTTTTAAGCTTTGCCGAACGTGAATCAGCACTGGGAAACATGCGTGCGACGTTTTTAGGTAAGGTATTAATTTTTTTTTTTTTTTTTTGTCTTGTTAGTTTTGTTACTAACTTTCTTTTTTTCTTGGGGTTTTTAGACTTCGCCGAACGTGAATTCTTGCGATGTGTGGGAGTTGGATTCTTGCTTCACATGGGAGCTAGATTCTTGTGCCGTATGGTATTGTAAGCACAGATATGAGACTCCCGAGTCGATAGATTTAATGCATGGCTAGGCCACGCAAAGTTAATTTTTCGTTTTGCATAACCCGGTGTTTCAAAATTCCGGTCGGCGGGTCGGATTTTTTATTTTTTATTTATTTTTTTTTTTTAAAAAAAATTAACTTTGCGTGGCCTAAATTAATTCATGTTCACATCTAAGGTTACGCAAAGTTAATTCTTCGGTTTGCATAACATGGAATCAGAAAATTTTGAATTTTTTTTTCGGACCTATCGGGTACTTCGGAAAATTAAGGTCGTCGTCGGGTGACACCGGAGAAAAAAATTAATTAGAAAAAATGGAATAATTGGCACAATAGGAATTTAAAAAAAAAAAAAAATTTTTTTTGGAAAAATTGGGTCGGCGGGTTATGCAAAACGAAAAAAATGCGTGGCCCTAATGAGTTATTTTTCTTCAACCGAAACCTAATATTCTACGTTCCTGGTTCTAGCGCGACTGCGTCGCGCAGCTATCCCTAATTTAATAAATGCGTCATATGGTTGACGTATATATCATGTAATAATTAAACAGTAATTCAGGTTTTTAATTTTGGCTCCATTCCAAAAATGCGCCCGATTGTATTATCTATATCATTCGAAGCATTCATTATTTATTATCTATATTATTCTAAATTTTAAAGTACCCTTATACTGTACGCTATTCAAATATGGTTTTATGTTTTTTCTGATAATCAGATACTTATCCAAAGTCTTGATATAAAGTTACATAACTTT